GAACTTAAAAAACCCCACAACCAAAAATCAAACTACCAAACAGCTATTTTTCTTACCAGATATCCGTGAGTCTCTGAATACATCCCTGTGCTAAACTTTGTGAGAACATACTTACTAGAAATTTTTCTGGAGGGGAAAGGAGCATAAACTCCATGTAACCACGAGAAAAGCGAATGCCACAAGCAGTCTTCTAAAATGCCTATCCTTAGGATTTGACATGTGTTGTGCTTCCAATATGAAAACACAGTGACATCTTTCTGGTACTTTTGCATCCACTTGATGCCAAACAATACAAATTGTGGGACACGAAAACAAAACAGTTGGGGTGGTGGGGATTTAATTAATGTTGTTAATGTTGGTTCTGTATGGTTTAGTTATTTTATTTAGTTGAGTTCTTCTGTGCCTAACTTGCATGGATATGATTTATTCCCAATTTTTTGAATAATGTAAGAGGGTTCTTTGTTTCATTTGAAGGGGTAGAGGACCAATGAAGAACACATCTGATGTAATTAATGCAGCAAAAATGATTTCAGAGTCGGGATCAAGGATGGATGTCCTAGCACGGCTGATTGCCAATCAGGTACGTTACTTGATGCAGCAATGCATTAAACTGTGTCACAGATTAATCCATCCACAGAACCTCCAGCGCTTAAGAAAGTCACTTACAAAAGTGCTCGTGACATTTTTACTGTCTGATCTTCTTTTTCTTCTCAATTTCTGAATACATAGATTGTGTCTTAATTGTATGTGTGGATTCTCTTCATACATATCAATGTGTCTGTTTAAATACACTTACAAACACGCATAAACGTCTGTGTACATGTATCACAGATGTGTATGTACATGTATTTATCTACACATGTGTTTGTACATATGGGTGTATTTGTGAGCTCATTTAAGCTATGAATGCAGCATTTTAGACAAATGTATGAATATATGTATGTATAAACATATACATATATTCATACCTCATTAGAGCTATGAATGCAACATTTCAGATGTATCATCTATTTTTCCTTGGGTAAATTTCCTAGAAACAACTTGAATTGTTTCAGGTGAGTCACCTTAGATGTGGAGTGTTGCACTGGCATAGAATTCTTCTGAGCACGCTTAGACATGTGCTAGGTCTCAGCACCACACTTCGTAAGGTTACCAACTTTGCTTCTTTTTTCTTTGAGATTACTTGGTTTTCACCCTAATCTCCCCCCCTAGTTATAGAATCTGTGCTTCTGGTGTACCTAGTTTAATCTGTCTTCCATTTCTGCCGCCCAACACTGGCAGTTTCTTTGGAGTATTGATGTCAAATGGTTTTCTATGTAAATACCCTTCTGGATAATCAGAGTTTTGGCCTCTGCATACCTGCAGTCTTGAGGTGATTTTTTAACATTTAAAAGAAATATGTATCATCGTCAAATGCAGAGTGTTAGAACTATAAGGTCTACTTTATTACCACTGAATTTTTAATACATCAGACAGCTTAAAAATCCCCACCAAAATACCCAAACCGCATACATGTACGTAAATCAGTAAGCACGCTCATGTTCCTGGCTAGCACAACTCCGTAGTAGCTTAGGAAATTAATATACCAAGCAACTTGTCACATGCAGCCTGCTTTGCTAAGTAAGGTTGGTGGTTTTAGGGCCAGGCAATGCCAGAAGAAGAGTGTAGTGAAATTTAAGTGTGTATTAAATCTAAAGCATGTACATTCCTAGTCTTTGTAATGCCTTTTAGGTGCAGGGCAGTGTGGTATAGTCACTGTCTTCCATACCTTTACATATCGTTTCTCTTCCACTCACTTTTGAGTTTTGGATATAACACTTGCTTTTCTAATATCTATGAAGCAGCAACAATCTGTTAGTGTTTTCTACCATATGTGTCTGAATTCCAGATAACAAGACAAAGAATTTATACTTTCCATTTATACAGTTGTGATCTGATTTGTGAAAAAACAAGGTGAAATGTTGTTAAGTCCCCATTTGTGATCTTGACAGATATTCTTCCAGCACTTAACTCTTTTCAAGAACACTGGAGAATGGCTCCTTTCAAGCTTTTAACAGTTACAAATTAAAATTCTAACCCATCACTGATCAATTGCATACAACAATGTGGTATCAAAGCTGAAGAGCAACGGTCATAGTCTCTTGCTCTTCGAATAGGGAATCCAGTCTCAGTCACTTCTTCCCTGAATTTGTCCTTTTTCTCTATTACTACAATGACTGCAGACCAGAAACATGAGCAAATGGGTATGAGCAAAAAGTAGCCATGAATCATTAGTACTAATAATTTGTGTGACACATTTCCCAGCGGCTGCTGGGAAACAGCTGCTGCTGAAATGATGTGACATCATTCATGTTATTGTAACCCTTTTACTGAATTTACTCAAATTATTTCCATTTGACCTAGCTCAGAACCTTGCACATAGTTGATGCCTTTGAGCCACCTGACCCCTGGTATTTATTCCCTGTGGCATCTTGTATGCATCAGAAATACACTGTTAGAGGTGTTGCTTGTATTTTAGATGTTATTTCATGTTATAAGTATTAGAAGCAAATGAGCAACTACAATGCAAAAAAAAACCCACAAAACACCAAAAACTAAATCAGTGCAGCCCTTCCAGTACATCTGTGGTGAGCACAAGTACAAGCATTGCTAGCCGTGTGTCAGACATAGTATAAAAGAGAATCTTGCCTTTATTCCCCCTATTACAGAGATGCTTAATATGATCCTCTCATTACTCTGATGGCTAGAAATCCTTTAACTTCTCTTACCTGTTTTGCCTGTGCCAAGTCATCCTTTAACTTCTACAGCTCTTTCCTCATTGTGCTTTTTTAATCTTGGAAGGTATTTGTGAAGACCAGTAGTTCCTTTTCTCAGCTATTATTTTGTTAAATTTCCTATGTATGTATGTATGTCATGTCCTGCGTTCTTGGGGTCCTAAAATAAAAGAAACTACATTCTTCTGGGCTGCCTAATAGCTGTTCTCTGAATATGGTCCAAACTGAAGGAACTCTTCAAGAATTTGGTGCCCAGACTGGAACATGAATTCCAAGGAGGCTTTATGAGAGCCTTTCTTAGCAGCATTGATACTTTTTAGTGGAGTATTTCACCTGTTTCCTTTTAATAACATCTAAATTATGTGGAGTTTTTATTCTGGGAAAAAATGAATTTGTGTGCTTTGTTTCAAAAGTGAAAAGAGCTCTACATTGTACCAGTTTCAAGTTAACTTCCTGCACATACTTTTCACCAGTTCCTATCGAGCTTAGGCAACTCTCTCAGTCTGATACTGGCATTTAATTAGACCACATCATGTTACTGTTTGCAGTCATCCCATGACTCAACTATTACTCTGCCTTTGCAGTTAACAGGACAGGTTTTCATAACCCCTTCTTCCTGTGTTTGAAGGAAAGGGACACAGTGTCGTACAATTAGCAGAATGTTAAATTTCAGTCCATACTCATAGCACTTTTAAGATGACTCAGTGTTAACAACTGTGAAAATAATCACAGTACAGCATTAGCATAAAACTAGGCAAATTAATCACAAATAAATTGGTCATAAATTTAAAACCAGGTAATTTCCACTGTCAAATGGGATGTTCACAATGGAACTTTTTGCTGCAATCCTGGATAAAGGCAAGGCTATGCAGGTGTCCCAAACCCATTACCAAGTTGGAGCTTCCTGCAAGCTGGTCTGCTGCCATACATTAACTAGGCGTACGCTGTGGCCAAGGGATTTGTCCACTGCAGCACAGCCCAGGTCTGGCCCTAGTTCACAGGTCAGCTGCTGTGTGGGTTGCCAGCTCCTCAATGTACGGTGTCTCTTCGTCAGAATCAATACATCAAGGCAATAAAATGCTAAAGAAAGACTTTCACAATCTGGAGGTGTAGGGATCAATATGAAACATTTGTATTCCATCGAACCAGATAGCCTCCTGACTTAGCAGATTTCATGTACTTCAAAAATGTTTTCCTGAGAGTAAAATGCAAAAGGTATCTAAAATGATAAGCTGATAAATACAATGCAAGCAGATGTGCCAAAAAGATGTCTTGATTACAGGATCATCTTACCTAAAAGCTTGCAGTTAACAAATAATTGCAATAAATTACACATTTATAGTAGTGGGTCTGTATGTGATTATACCCAGTATTAATCACCATAAAGACAGCTTCAGATTCGAGAGAAATGCTACTGAGTTTGTTAGCAAAGGGATGAAATGAAAGTGAAGCACAAACAGCACTGCTGTCATCAGACTTTCCTGCAGAAATGTTTTGTCTTGGCACTGCTCTGCCAGTGGCTTTTTCATTTTGATTGTTGAATGTTGGTTTCAGTGTGATTTTAATCACTGCACAATTTATCAAATCATGTGGAGGTTTCTGTGGATATTATCTCTATGAGGTAAAACATCGCTGCATGTTTTGAATGCAAGTCAGTTCTGATCCTGTTGTTATGGAGAGCCCTTGTTAATATCCCACTGTCTTCAATATATATGGGAAAGAACCTCTCAGAATTTGCCAGGATCTCTAGCTAAGAATGTGACGCATTAAACTGGTAACCATCAATTGCCTTTGGGATGATTGAACTCAGAATTTATTAATCGTCCTTCTGTTGCAGCCTAGTGTTCGATTTCACTAGCGAGCAACTTGTACCAGATGCTTCTGAGCAATATATAGAGGATTCCTTACGGAATATCCTCTCTACACAGTACATTTCTTTCTAACAGCTGTTTAAGGTTGATTTGGATATGCTATAAGGTTTTTTTAGTACATTATTCTGCTTAAAATAGCATAGAATTCTTACCTTTACCCCTGTAAATGCTGCTTCTTTCTATTGTGTTGCTCCCTGCCTTGATCATATGGTCTTGTGAAGTTTTATGGGTAAAGTACATAAAAATGAGCACACTTGGTCAGACCCTGTAGGTTCACTTAGGCCAGTGTCCTGTTGCTGACAATAGTCAATAGTGAGTATCTTCAGAACTTGGTGAGATAATGGCATGCATTTCATGATTCTCCCACAATATAGTTTCCCAACCTCCAGCAGCCATTCAAGAATTTACTTAAGTGAACATATTTTTGATAGTTTTGAACATACTTTAAATAGTCCATGGTATTTTTTTTTCCATTAATTTCTCCAGCAACTTGTTTAACGTATGTAAGTTTTCAGTATAACCATCCTGCAACAGAGATTTCTGCAACTTGACAACAGTGTTAAAAGCCATCTCCTTTTGTTTTGAACTCAGGCTAGTTAGTTACTTTTAATGACCTCTGGTAGTGGAGGAAAGAATACCTGTCTTCACAAAAATCTTTGTTGCCCTTTTACTATTTTCCTATGTGCCTTGTAGTGGGCAAGGGAGAGGAAAGATGCATCATACCTACACTGGGTAGAAGAGTTGTGGGTGTATCACAGAGTTGTACAGTTGCATAATTACATTTCAGAAATCTTTTCCTAATAATGCCTAGTATTTGCCTTTTTTGAATCTACCAATCACTGATCAGTGTTTTCATATTTCGGTTTTGAGTGGCAGTTTCTTGGTCTTTGATGCACATCATCTTTAGCATTCCTAAAATGTTATACATTTCTTCTCTATGCAGTATACAAGTAAGACAGTAAATGAGACTGGCCTGCCAATATTATGATGTGAAAGAGTACTCTATAATAAGGTTAAATTATTCGTGTCTCTGACATTCTGTAATAGACATTGTCACTATTTGAAGTGGATGAGACACTATATCACCACCCTGTCTGCCCATCTTTTGGGTTTTTCAGGGGGTGGGGGGGAGAGATCATGCTATATTTAAATTTAAGAAAAGAAAGAAAAAAGAGGAGCGAGCATCTCTCATTCCAGGAAATACACGCTGTCTTTATATAATTAGTTCTGATGCTTAAAGGGATTACAGTTGCATTTGACTGACAGGACAGATTTTTTTTATTAGTTAAATAAACAATGACTCTTCCAGTTTTGTAAACAGTCTGAACTCGCTAGACTGAGATACCGATATTTCAATCTGGTTTGTGCAGTTCTTAAAGCAGTGTTGAGTAAGGAAGAAGCAAAGGCATATTTTAGTATAATTTTCTGTAATATGCTAACACTTTGAAAACATCATACATAAGAAAGAGACGATGTCAAGAAACTTTTCTATTTCCCTCCTAAATTATGCCAAAGTACAGAAAACATTTTAGTAATGGATCTAGTAGAACATGAGGTAGGGACTGACATTTAATTCATATTAAGTGAGTAATTTAAAATTGTTCATCCTACTCTTTGTTACTTGTTACCTTTTCATAAGTCTAAAACATGGACTGCTTTGCTTAACCAGACATACTGCATGAAGAGTAGAATTGCCACACTCCCATTTTAAACAAGTATCAAGTTTCTTCAGCAGTGCCAGTAGTTCAGGTACAGTATTTCATGAATTAAATAGAATTAGTGCTTTTTTTCTGACTTCTGGTAGGTTTTGGATTTAAACCCATTGACCACAATTCCATAAGACTCAAGGGTTTAAATAACTATACAAACCCATATATGACTGCTGCCACTGCAGTTGGTGGGAACATACCTTTCTTAACAAAAGATGAACATAATTTTCTTTCAAAAGGAAGTTACCACATCTCTAATGTAAATACGGACACAGGCTAAAAATACGTCTCTGGAAAACTTGTAGGGATTTGTTCATTATTTATCATGCTCTTTTTACAGCTGTGGTAGCACAACAGGTACTTACCATTCATCTTAAGATCCCTTTACTCTGCCAGAGCAAGCAGCTTTAGAACAAACGCATAGCAGGCCTTAGGTATTTAGCCTGGTACTCACAGAATAGTATTTCCCCTCCAAGTACTCTAGGTATTTTGGGAGTTCACAGAAGTGAGGGTGGAAAGATGCTATTTTTATTAAAAATCTTGTGCTACTAGAAGTACTGAAATTGGTGTTTTCTGTGAGACATTTTTATTGTCCTGTTCCACCTGATAACAGAAGATCTGTGGCTTGACATGAATGAATTTTGGATGGAACACAAAAAAATAAATCGTACTATAAAATTGAGCATAATTTCCTATAAATGTTAACATTGCTTTTGTAGATATCTTCTTAGAAAGAAAGCGTAACCTCTTAGGAATTGAAGGGAAAGTAACTATTCCATACATTAAATAATTTGTTTAGAAATATTCTTAAGGCAAGTCCAGCACTGTTTAAAGAAAAAAAGTTAATATGGGAAAGTGTAGGATTATTCTGAACTTCTCCCATTATTTTGTTAAAAAGATTGACAAGAGGAATGACTATGTTACCTGACACAGCTGCAGTGAAAAACAAGGTTAGGTTGGTATAGAATTTGAATACTCTTCAGTGAAATATTAACATAATGTTTGAGACGAAATTTTGAATCAGCATTTGCTGAAATGCTTTATTAATTGTTCTTTTCTTAATCTTCAGTGTCCAGACCAATCATGCAAACAGGATTTGTTGGCTTACCTAGAACAGGTCAAGCTGTACTCCCATCAGCTCAAAATCTGCAGCCAAGTTAAAGCAGAAATCCAGAATCTAGGTGGAGAGCTCATCATGTCTGCTGTAAGTAGAAAACTGGCATAAATTACTCTGTTAATCAAAATACATTTAAATTGCAGTTGTGCTTTCCTGTGCTTGCGAGATGTTGCAGTGTAGCCCTGAATCTCTTTGCTTTATTCCTCACTGATTTTCACACTGACTTAACACAGAGCAGCTGAGGCACTGAAACATAACATTGGTGGCTTAAAAGGAGTAGTAATCACTAGCAGGCTTTTTTTCTTTTTAATTCTTTTAAATTTAAATATTACTCTTCACTGTTACTCTGGAGTAATTTGGTTATAAGAACTGTAACCCATTTTAAGATTGTGGGTCATTATTTACATATATGGAGCATGCATGTGTGTGTGTCTGTACCCAAAAAATAAATCCCCAGAGATGCACTTCCAGTTCAGAAGGAAGTGATAAAAGACACTCTACATCTCTACAGAAAAAAAAATTAAAATTAAGAGCAAGTAGTCTGAGTAGATTTCTTGATGTGGCATTTATTTCAGAGTCATTAGCTCCATTACAGTAAGTAACATTAGCAGCAGAAAAGATGATATTGTTTATGACTTTGTGGAACTTTTCTGTACTTGTCTTTAGCACAAATCGGATCCCAGGCATTCATACGTCATTTATTAGTGTTATTACTTGTAGCGTATGGGATTATGATTTCAAGATGTAAAACCTTCTAAATGGTACATAAACTAGGTAACAAAATCTTCCCACCCCACATTCTTACTATTTAAATACTTCGCTTTTTATGATGACTTCACATTCACATAGTCTGGAATATATGTATCACTAAAACTATTAGTACATCTTATATGGTTTATTAACTAATCAAAAATAAAGCCTATACTGCTGATGTAAGATCTGAAACATTAATTTTTGTAGGCTATTTTTGTTGATACATTCAAATGAAAATTCAGAGGTCATATTAACCCTGGAACTTACAGATAAGTAATTTTGAATTGAATGTATACTTTCTGAAGCAAGTACTTGTTTTCACTTGGGTTGTAAATTTATCAAGTATAGCTTCATTATCTGTTTCTTCCTCTTTTTTACCAACAGCTGAATGAGCTGAGTGGGTTAATAAAGCCAAATATCAATATTTCATGCTCTCTTGTGCATACATCCTCTGCTGTCAGTGCTCTGAACTTGCCCATGTTGTCTTTAAACCTACTACTTCCAATGGTCCTACACAACAGAAATCCATGATTGCCTTCTGTGCTTAGAGGCTTTGTTTCAGTACTTCGTTCTCCCCCTCACCTGCATATAAACTGTTCACTAATGCTTTTACCTCAACTTCTGTGTATCTATCTATCTGACATGTTTCCCTGATCACGATAGACAGACAGACAGACAGACAGATACATACATAGATGGAGTGAACCTCCCCTGAAGTCCACAACAGCTGTGCAGCAGGAAACGGTGGTGCAGATACTGACTGCTCAGTCCGTGCTGACAGGCTGTTGGTCACTCACTTGAGAGCCAACAAGAATTGGTCTGTCTCTGTCTTTTTCTCTCTGGGATCTCTTATTTGTGACTTTTCTTCCTCTATGCAGTCTCTGGGTTTGTGACCTGGTAGAGATTTACATTTTTGGCATTTTTGTGTCTCCATGAAATTTGGAAATGTGAGATTAGCTAACTCGTAAGTTAGGAAGCTACTGGAGGACTGAAAAATAAATGGACAACACAGATAAACTTTATTCACTTAGAAAACTAGTTAAAAGATACAGATTTTTGCACATCACAATGTGTATCTGATTTGAGCTGTCCACTACTTTGGCAAATTTGGATTCACATGGATCCTTGAGCTACAGAAATCTGCATACCGCCTGCTACACGCCAGCTGTCATTTTCCTGGTCCTGTCTCCGTCATTGAGCGCAGCTGCCTGGTGGACTGACTTACTGCAAGAAATTTTGAAAGCCCTCTTTGGTTCTTCCTCTTTTTTTCTTCCACTGTAATGATAGTCGCATTATTTCCTTCACCATTTTATTGTGTCAACAGTGGGAAGTATGTAATCCTGGTGCCAATATTGTAATTCTAAAAATAAAACCCCAAATTTAACTTCATTCATAATCCCAGAGGGATGACTATAGAGCTTAATGCTGTTTCAGGGAAGGAGGATTAGGTTAACCTAACCTAACCTATATGTAAATGAACTATTTGTACTTTACTTGCTTCCATTTTAGGAGGATATGGGAATTAAAAATATGTTGTATGTATACAGTGATAAGCAGAGAGGGAGAGAAATTCACTACTAATACAAAATGGCTGATTGAATTATTTTTTTAAAAACCTGGAGCAAATTCTGGCTTTGAAAGTCTCTGTGAGGGCTTTAGAATTTGATCAGGTAGGTTAGTTGGCCTTGGAAAAAGTGACAAAACAGTTCTGCCTAAGAAAGCACAGAGGCTCTCCTTCCCTACTCCAAGATCTGGGAGCATAGTAAGGAAAAAAACTCTATAGATAATATATGGACAGAACATCTGTGTCCTTATTATCTGTCAGGTATCTGCTTAAGCAGCTGAGTTTTACTCTTTGAGCCAGAAAGGGTTTTTATAGTTTATGCAACACTAGTAAATCTTCCGATTTTGTTCACACAAAATGAGTAGCAAAGCTCTATTTTTTAAGGAGTCAGAACTGCAGCTGGAATAGGATTATATTCTCCCCAGTCCTTATCTTCTCTCATTCCTCTATTTAAGCTAACAAAGAATGAGAATCAGAAAAAGAGAGATCAAGCATGAATAAGGAAAAAAGAGGGCAGGCCCTTGCAGATAGTAAAGCTGTCATTATGTATTAAATATTAAGTAAAAAACTCAAGATACCTGAAACTCTATCAATCAATCCCCTGGATAGTGAAGATCTATCTGGTAAAGAAAAAGTGTATTAGAAAGGCCATTAGGAAATAATCATTTTGCTTTCACTGTTTCCCCGTGATTTCTCTCTTTTGTGCCCATGTACATGTATGCTTCAGATTGAACTACCTGATTCTTGGTCATCTCTCAGATGTCTGTCATTGGCTCCTCAAAGTTCACTTTTGTTATCAGTTGTCTCCTTCACAAACTGTGATAGGTGTATGCAAACGGAAGAGCTAAGGAGGAAAGCTCTGTTCAGATAGTTAATATCAGCTTCCAAGCTGGCAAGTCAGCTTCAGTGCACAAAGTGAAAGTGATTGAGCAAAAGCTGGCAATAGACCACAAATCCACACATAAAAGCATTGTTATACGGATGTAAGAAAGATGGCACTTACATCCATCCTCCACTTCCCTTTCTCCAACTGCGCACAAGGATCTCAGATTTAAATCGGTCTTGAGGAATTTTGAATTGTTTGGGGTTGTTTTTTCTTACAAGAAGAGTTCATGAAAAAAATGGTCTGTTGAAGCCTAAGGACCAAGTCAGAGGAATTAATAGGGAGATGAAGAGCAGAGGATATAGTCTATAGTTCTGTCACATATTTGTTGATCTTTAAAAGAAAGAACTGTCATCTTGAAATAGAGCTAAATCGTAACACCTGTTTTACCAGTGTCATCTTAGGGATGAAGCTATGGAGGAGAAAGTAAAGTAGGCATAAAATGGCATTACAGATTAACCTGATATACTACTATGTACCATTGGTCAGCAGTGCCATGGTGTAATGCCCCCCAAATATCTCTCAATAGGAAAATGTATTCTAATTGATAGAAGCACTGTACCTAAGGAGGTGCTGGTGACTGCTAGCTTAGTTCAGTTTGGGACTTATTGCCATGACAACAACGAGCATTATGCATATGAAAAAGTACATTGTAATCTATAAACACAGCTCATAGTCATTTGTTCTCTAGATCACATTACGTTTAGTTGTTTTTTTACTGTCCCCACCATGTCTTCCCTGTAACACTCCTCTGACAACCTCCCTTAGAATGTTTCTTACTTAAATTAATACCCCTGCTGTATCAGTAGTGTAGGTTAAATAGGCCAGTGTGCCTGGGAAGCTGGAATGCTGTGGGAGTATCCAGCTGATAGTCCTCTTAACTGTTCTCCTCAATTAATGGCTTTTAGACTTTATGCCATAGAATCTTGTAGTCTCTCAGTATAGTTATGAGGACACTTGCCTGTCTCACTGCCATTCCCTGAGCTCCTTCCAGTACCTTCATTCTAGCCAGTGGCACAGTAATGCTCAGAGCCCCAGTGATGGTGGTTATTAAAGGTTTTTTGCCTTAAAAAGGAAATGGAAATGTGGAAGAAAGAGTTCTCAGAGTTACAGTATCACAGAATTTGATAAATGGCATAGAAAAGATCTCTCAGGTTAGCCAGCCCTACCTGTGCACTGAAGGCTGTTTCGCTCTATTTTTCCTGCAAATCATAGAATCACAGAATATCAGGTTGGAAGGGACCTCAGGGACCATCTGGTCCAATCTTCCTAGGCAAGTGTGACCTAGACTAGATGTCCCAGCATGTTGTCCAGCTGAGTTTTAAAAGTGTCCAATGGTTGGGAATCCACCACATCCCTGTGGAAATTCCGATGGTTGACTGTTTTGATTGTGAAAAATCTTCCTCTTGTGTCCAGTCAGAATCTCCCCAGGAGTAACTTGTACCCATTACCTCTCATTTTTCCCATGTGACTCCTTGTAAAAAGAGTCTCCATCTTCTCTGTAGCCACCCTTTAAATACTGGAACATGGTGATAAGTTCTCCCTTAAGCCTTCTTTTCTCAAGGCTGAACAAACACATTTCTCTCAGCCTTTTCTCATAGGTCAGGCTTCCCAGTCCTTTGATGATCTTCATGGCCCTTCTCAGGACCCTCTCCAGCCTGTCCACATCTTTTTTTGTAGAGCAGGGACCAAACCTGAACACAGTATTCCAGGTATGGCCGTACAAACACTAAGTATAGTAGGATAATGACATCTTTATCTTTGCTGGTGATGCCCTTGTTGATGTAACCCAGCATCCTCTTGGCTTGCTTTGCCACAGTAAAAAAATAGGGTAAATCAAATGTGTCATTTGATTCATCTTTGATTCTTCCTGTTAGTATCTCAAGA